TGTTCGGTGTGGGGTGAGTCCCTGCCCCTCCGCTGCATAGTTAGCCTGGCCATAGGGCTCTTCCTCTCCTGTCCATACTGCCGAGGCTGAAGGCTGCAGGTGATGAGGAAGATGAGGCTCTAAAGGCTCATGCAGCTCTGCCCATCAGCCCCGAGGGGTGACTGAGTGCTTGCAAGCTCCCATGTGGCTGCTAACACCAAGCACTTTCATCCCGGCTTCAGGAAGACAAGCAGCATGTTAGAGGTGGATGACGAGGGAGGGAGGATGTTTCTGCGGGTGCTGATCCACCTGACGATGCACGACTACCCACCGCTCATCTCCGGCTCCCTGCAGCTCCTCTTCAAGCACTTCAGCCAGAGGCAGGCGGTCTTCAAACAGGTAACCCTGGTGGGATGCTGCTCCGGAGCACCTCTAAGGCCACACGTGGCTGTGGGTGCAGGACATAGAATGGGTCCTGGCCCCTTTCCTTGGGAGAGGAGGGGAATGGGGTTCATGCCCTGACCTGGAAAGCCCTGGGAATGTTGCTGCAGGTTCAGCTCCTGATCTCAGCCCAAGATGTGGAGAACTACAAAGTGATCAAGTCAGAGCTGGACAAACTCCGCACGATGGTGGAGAAATCGGAGCTCTGGGTGGACAAGAAGGGCAGCAGCAAAGGGGACAGCACGGTGGAGGGGAACAAGAAGGAAAAGAAGGAGGTGAGAGCCATGAGCCAGACCCTGGGAACCAGGAGGGAGAGGACTGGGAAGCAGAGATGCTGCTCGTTTCAGCCCAACACCTAACGCCTCTCAATGGGCTGTGCACCCCTCTCCATGGAAGAGGAGGGTTATGGAGGGTCCCGCAGGGTGTACTTTTGCCCCAGGCTTTGGAGAGGTGCAATGGGACCCTGATGCTGTTTCTGTCCCCTTGCAGCTTGCTGCTGATGAAGAGGTCATTGCTCCGGGAGAGAAGAGCAGTGAGAACTACCAGATAGTCAAGGGGGTGAGTGAGACCAAGTCATGTCCCCAGGGCTGTCCTGGAGGCATGGCCTGGCCTGGGCTGGGCTGGCACGAGCCCAGCAGCATGAAGGGAAGGGGGTCTCCAAGCCCAGTGCTGGTGGCCATCCTGATGGGCTCCAGGCTCAATTCGCCTCTGCCATGGTCCTTCTCTCCCCAGATCCTGGAGCGGCTGAATAAGATGTGTGGGGTCGGAGAGCAAGTGCGCAAGAAGCAGCAGCGCCTTCTGAAGAACATGGATGCCCACAAAGTGATGCTGGATCTGCTGCAGATCCCTTATGAGAAGGTGGGTGGGCACAAACTGGCTGGTCCTGATTTGCCCAGGGCAAGGGGTGGGGGGCTGTGTCCTGATGGTCGGCCTGATGCTGCTCTCCATCCCTCAACAACCCTGCGTATGTCTCTTCTCTGCCCTTCCTCAGGGTGATGCCAAGATGATGGAGATCCTGAAGTTCACCCACCAGTTCCTGCAGAAGTTTTGTGCTGGCAATCAGGAAAACCAGGCCCTGCTGCACAAACACCTCAACCTGTTCCTCACCCCAGGGGTAAGGAGAGGGACCGAAGGGTGGTCGCAGGCAGCAAATTCAGCATCACTCCTGGAACTGGGAGCAAGAGATACCAAAGCCAAGAGGAGACCCTGGGAGAAGATGGAGGCTGTTCCTCACAACCCCTTGGTCTCACTCTGCTCCCTTGTCCCGCAGCTCCTGGAGGCTGAGACGATGCAGCACATCTTCCTCAACAACTACCAGCTCTGCTCGGAGATCAACGAGACTGTGCCACAGCACTTCATCCACTGCGTGGCCACGCACGGCCGCCACGTGCAGTACCTCGACTTCCTGCACACCATCATCAAGGCTGAGGGCAAGTACGTCAAGAAGTGCCAGGACATGATCATGACCGAGGTGAGCACCTCTCACCCAGCCTGTGGGGCATGAGCATGGGGTGTAGCAGGGCCTGGGTCCTGGGAGGTGCATGGTTGGCTTCTTTCTTGAGGCAAAGCCTTCCCAGCCATGCTGGCTTCTTCCTGGAGTAGGGTCCAAGAGCCAGCAGCAATTTTGGAGTCTCACAAGCTATGATTTTTGGTTTCACTGTAAATGCCTGTTTTTCCCTTTGCCCTTCCCCGCTGCTGCCTCTCATCATCCTGTTCTCTGCCTCGTGAGGTTTCTGACCCTCCTTCTCTGGAGCGGTGACCACTGACCCTTCCCCGCAGCTCACCAACGCTGGGGACGACGTGGTGGTTTTCTACAACGACAAGGCTTCACTGGCTACCCTGCTGGAGATGATGACAGCAGCCAGGGATGGGGTGGAGGAGAACAGCCCCCTCATGTACCACATCTCACTGGTGGACCTGCTGGCTGCCTGCGCTGAGGGCAAGAACGTCTACACAGAGATCAAGTGCACGTCCCTGCTGCCCTTGGAGGACGTGGTGCGGGTGGTGACACACGAGGACTGCATCACGGAGGTACAGGGTGCCCACCGAGGAGGTGCCGGTGGGTTTGCACTGGTTGACTTCTCCTGATGGTGCCCCTGCTCCGTCCCTCCTCGCAGGTGAAGATGGCCTACGTGAACTTCGTCAACCACTGCTACGTGGACACGGAGGTGGAGATGAAGGAGATCTACACCAGCAACCACATCTGGACTCTCTTTGAGAACTTCACCCTGGACATGGCCCGGGTGCGTGGGGAGCGTTGGGTGGGAGGGACACAGCAGCAATGTCTGCAATTGGATGGATGGGGACATGAGGCATGGGCACCTTGGGGACTTGTTTAGCTGCCACATGAGGGGCTGGGGAGCAGTCAGGGCTCTCTGGTGTAAACCCAGGAGCTGTGTCACCAGCCACATCCGTCAGCAAGGTCCCAGCAGTGCTGTATGCCAGCAGCTCCCAGGCAGGACACATTGCTCACCTCGCCCTGGTGCCATCGTCCTCCTCCCTTCTCCTCACAGATGTGCAAGAAGCGAGAGAAACGCCTGCCAGACCCTACCCTGGAGAAGTACGTGCTGACGGTGGTGCTGGACACCATCAACGCGTTCTTCAGCTCCCCCTTCTCAGAGAACAGCACCTCATTGCAGGTAATAAGGTGCTGCGTGGATAGGACATGTCTGGGGGAGGAAGGCAGCTCATTGAGCCCCCTGAAACAAGGTCTGGACACCCATTGCGCTGATACATACCTGCCTGCTCTCTCCTTCAGACCCACCAGACCATTGTGGTGCAACTTCTCCAGTCCACCATGAGGCTGCTGGAGTGCCCCTGGCTGCAGCAGCAGCACAAGAGCTCGGTGGAGGCCTGCATCCGCACACTGGCCATGGTCGGTAAGAAGCCAGAGTGGTCCTGTGCTCCCCACCAACCACATGCAGCACCCTTGGCTGCCTCCGCTCCAGCAGCGAGCAAGAGCCATCGTCCCTCCTGTGGGTCTTGGCAGGGACACCAGTGGGAAGCTGCCAAGCTGGGAATGGGGAGGTTTGGCTCTGGGATGTGCTTTTCTTGAGCTACATCTCCGGGCACGAGCGCGGGGATAGCTGGAGCCTGGGCTTGGCTGGGAGGTGTCCCTGCTAGTGAAGGGCCTGGAAATAAACCCAGCGTTTATGGTGGTTTTCCTCAGCAGGACTTTGCCCTCAGCCTGACTCAGGAGAAGGGTTCTTAGAACTGAGTCACCCTGTGGAAAGGATTGCTCGTGGTTAGCCCTGGGTGGGGATTTCCCTTTGTAATCTGGGGCAGGGTGCTTACAGCATCTCCATGCTGGGCTTTCCCGACCAAAAAGTGGTGCCTCTTTCCATCCTGCATCTGGCTGGGGGCCTGTGGGCAATGTTGTGCTGCGGTGGGGAGGGATGGATGGAAACACTCCACCCCTCGCTAGGCTGGAGGAGTTTATTCTTGTATTTAACCCAAATCTTCTCTGCTGCAAGTGAAGAGCTGGTGAAGGGGTGTCTGGCCCAAGGCAGTGTGTGAGGGCCAGTGGGGTGAGAGGGGTCATGGCTGTCCCCAACCCTGGCTCTGTCTCCCGCAGCCAAGAGCCGCTCCATCGCGCTGCCCATGGACCTGGATGCCCACGTCAGCTCCCTGCTCAACAGCAGCTCCACCAGCACCGTGCAGAGGAACACGTCCAGCTACAAGGCGGCCACACGGACCTTCCCGCGCGTCTCCACCACCCCCAACCAGTGGGACTACAAGAATATCATAGAGAAGCTGCAGGTATGGGACTGGAGGAGGGGGTCGCATGGGTCAGTGCGTGGTAGCGAGAAGGTGCTGGCGTTGCAGGGGTCCCTCTCCCCTGCTCCTGTCTCCTAGGCACGCATTGGCCCTAAGGGTGTGTGCTGTGACTTGTAGGACATCATCAACGCCCTGGAGGATCGCTTGAAGCCGCTGGTGGAGGCTGAGCTGTCTGTGCTGGTGGATGTCCTCCACCGGCCAGAGCTGCTTTTCATGGAGGGGACAGAGGCGTTTCAGCGGTGCGAGAGCGGAGGGTTCCTGTCCAAGTGAGGATGCTTTGGAATTGCCTGGAGCTTGCTGGGGGTACTGGGAAGGGCTGGTGACCTTCATCCTTCGGGGGGCTGTCCATCCCGGTGTGTGCCTGCAGCGTGGGGGGGGGACAGTTCTCCCCAGGACTCCCTTGTCGTTCTCAGCTGTGTGATGGTGGCTTTATTGTGCCAGGCTGGTGCAGCACACCAAGGACCTCATGGAGACGGAGGAGAAGCTGTGTATCAAGGTGCTGAGGACACTGCAGCAGATGCTGGTGAAGAGGAACAAGTACGGTGAGAGGGTGAGCACTGTGGTCCCATGGCACGTCCTCAGCCCCGCTCCCTGTCAGTGCAGCTTCCTGGGTGCTCAGCCACCTCCTGCTCTGGTGCTGGCCCTGCTGCCAGAACATTTGGGATGTGCATTTGTCTTGGCAGGGCAACCTGCTGCGAAAAATGCTGCTGAACAACTACCTGCAGAACAAGAAGTCCGGCTCCAAAGGTGAAATCATGGATGCTGCTGGGGGAGGTGAGTGCCCCTCTCCTGTGTATTCCCTGTCTCTCTGGGCTGCTCACACCTCGAATCCCCAGCTCCCGAGCCACAATGGGATCAGGTCTGTAGCTGGTTGCCGTGCCCCCACCTCCATGGGATGGATGATGATGAAGGGATGGGACTGTGATGCCCCTGGCAGTGATTGAGCTGTGCTTGTTCTCCTGTGCTTCTACAGCATCACATCCATCCGTGTCCTCTCATGCAGGAGGAGACCAGGACTGGTCCGCTATCGCTGCTGTCCAGTGCCGGCTGGACCGAGAAGGGGCCACCAAGTTGGTGGCTGACCTCATCATGAACACCAAGAACGAGAAGATCTTCCAGGAGAGCATCCTGCTTGCCATCCGGCTGCTGGATGGAGGCAACACCGAGATCCAGGTACCAAGCCCGGCGGCGCGGTGCGTACCAGTCCCGGGGTGGGCAGCGTGGGTTGATGTGTGCAGCGGGACGGTCCCAGCGCTTGGAAGATGTGGGCACGGGGCAGCCCCCAGCCCTGTTGCCCCCTGTGCTTTGCCAAAACACTGCTCGGGTGCATGTGTTTGGTGGTTGTGCAGAGGAGGAACTGAGGAGATGTGTCTGGTTTTCAGTTCTTCCAGCTCGGTGACTGGATGGAGAGAAGGGGCAGGTTGTTGCAGGGTGTTTCTGGAGCGGTGCTGATGCCCTCTGCCGGGTACTGCTGACATGGCTCAGGGCTGCAGCTCTGGGTGATAACTTGTGGGTTGTTCTGAATCCTTTATCACAGGGAAGCTGAGAAATGGTACATGCAGAAAAGCAGCGGGGTTCCGGTGCTGGAGCTGCTGTGATGGCTGCTTGTGCTGTCCCTAGGGTAAACGGGAGCACAGCAGCAGGGAACCATCCAGCCCTGTAAATGCAAGAGGACTGTGATGTCCAGGGCTGTCGCATGGAAATAAACCTTATCTCAGATGAGGTCTTGAATGCTGGAGGCCACCAAAGCAGAGGGGCAGGCAGGGGCGGTTTGGAGCCCATGATGGAGACTTGAATGACTGTCCTCCCTCCTCCAGAAATCCTTTTACAACCTCATGACCAGTGACAAGAAGTCGGAGAAGTTCTTCAAGGTGTTGCACGACCGGATGAAGAAGGCGCAGCAGGAGACCAAGTCTACGGTGTCAGTGAACATGAGTGACATTGGGAACAAGCCTCGCGAGGACAAAGACGAGCCCGACCCTGGCACCAAAGGTATGGATGGGGCCACGTCCCCTTGTAGAGCCAGTGTCTGTCTCATTGGATAGCCCGATACAAACGAGTTTGGATTGCCCCTAGGACGAGGAGACACATTCCTGATGCCCGGCACCCCATCCCGCTACCCGATGGCCATAGGGTTTCGGAAGGGCCATGACACTGGGGAGCAAGGCCAGAACAATGAGATGGGGGTGACAGTCCTGATCATGGAGCCAATCCTGCGATTCCTGCAACTGCTCTGTGAGAACCACAACCGGGACCTGCAGGTTGGTTACGGGGTGCTGGGGCTTGGGGGCCAGGACAGAGGCCGTGGGACTGGGGTGTGGACCCCAGTTTGGTCCAGAAAGCCATTGCACCAGCTGCTCTGTGCCTCAGTTTCCCCATCTGCAAAGGCACCATCCCTAATGGCTAACTTCTGGTGTTGTGGAAGGGGCTGTTCATGCACAACTGTCTGTGGGGCTGAGGGCTGCTCTTGGAGGTCTGGACGCTAACAGGGGTGGCTCCACTCCATTGAACTGCAGCTGGAAGGGTGTCGGGGGGGACCAGGACTGTCCCCCCACCAGAACGGTGCCGCTCAGCCCCGTAACCACAGGCTTTGCTCGACAGAATTTCCTCCGGTGCCAGAACAACAAAACCAACTACAACCTGGTGTGTGAGACGCTGCAGTTCCTGGACATCATGTGCGGCAGCACCACGGGCGGGCTGGGGCTGCTGGGC